AAAGAAGAAATGGACTGCTTGGAGGTAGGAGAAGAAAGTGAACGAGAAGCTAAGATTGCAGTCGAAGAAGTTCCCAGTATGGACGCCATTGACATAAACTTTGAACGGGTGGCGTTCGGTCTGTCAAAATTCCATGGAAGTAAGTTGTTGGGGAGCTTAATATGGTTTTTATTGGTCTGTTTGGTTGTGGATAAGAGGATAGATTTCGGTCCCGTCTCCCAAATTATCTTTGCTTCTCTGCTTGGAGTTGGCGTTTTCTCTTTCTAAAAAGCTTTTAAATATTAAAAGAAAAAGGAAAAGAAAAAAGCAAAAGTAGCGGCTGAAATGAAAGTAAAATATTTGATTTTTGTTTCAAGGAGAGTTATCATATAATTGCAATTTTATGTTTATAAAAAAATGTTTGAAATGTATTTGAGTAAATTATATAATTAAAATTACTTATAATAGCTCAGCTTTGCATATTATTCCTCGTACATTGTTATTTATATATATTTTTTACTAAAAACTTTAGATTCAATCGTATATATTACTTAAGATAATAACGAGAGTTGTTATTTTTATTCTTTAAAATTGAACAATTTTGATTTAAAAGAAATAATTTAACAACCTCTCTCATGGCATACTAACTTTGAAAGAGTTTCTATTAAGGATTTTTCACTATCATACCATTTTTCAATAGCATGAACTATAACCATTTAAAGTATCTAATGAATATATATATATATATATTATCAAGAAGTAGAAACATGTGGAGTAATTTTGGATGGTGTGAACATCCTTATGGACATAGAAAATTGTGTTCAATTTCTTAAAACTCATAAGAAATAGACTAATGAAAAACAAAACTGTTAAACTAAAACAAAGGCAACGAATATGAGTTATTGCACTTCAGAATCGAAAAAGTATAAACACATCTATATGTATGCAAACACCAAAAAAAAAATTTAAAAAAAACTTTAAAGTAACATTCAAATGGACAATTTAAGTAAAATAATGCATAATGTTGAACATTTGGTAAATAACTATAAGTTGTTCAAAATATAGGTAAAGAAAAGTATTAAATAGATGTTCTAGGTTGACAACATAGTCAAAAATTTTAAATATATAGAAGTCACAACTAAAATATAAATTTAGTCCTTATAGTAATAATAATAATAATAATTACATAATTATATACTTTTCCATTATTACATCACCTAATTTTATAATTATTATTATATATCATTATTTTTACTTTTCTGTTTTATTTTAACCGAAAAAAAATAAATTAAGGATGAAACTGAAAATAATTTTGATAAAAATATGTAGAAATTTGGGTTCTGATGGTGTTTTTGAAAGCAAAATTAGAATAGGAGGGTCATAGTGCAAATAAAGAAAATTTGGCGACATAGGACCGCCCAGTCAGCAAGCACGAAAAATCAGAGTGCGCCATGTGGCAAGGCATGCTGACTCGGTGCCACGCGGGAGGTCACGCTGGTGATCTGCGTACCCCACGATCAGACAACCCATGAGCGATTCCGCGCGCGTAAACGGTCCAGATCCGTTTCCTTCTTAGACGCGATCAGACGGTCAAGATCAAACGCAATAAATGACCCATATTTATTTGTTCCTTAAGAGCGATCGGACGGATGAGATCAATCACGATGGACAACCTAGATTAATGCGAGATGGGTATAAATATTTTGCATCACACTGAACTCGAACCCTAGCCGTCAGCCTCCAGCTAGAGAAGAAGAACCAGACGTTAGACAAGGGAGTCGACCGCCGATCTTCGCCGTACCGGAGCCACCTCCGACTGCCAAAAAAGGTAAATATTCTCCTACCTGCTCGGAATTCAATTGCGAGCACCCATGTGGTCATATTGGAGCAAAATGAACGGTGGATGAGTTGAAAACTACGGGTAAAGCCCGGTAGAGTCGCTGCGGGCAAAACTCGCAACCTCCTCCAATGAGCCCCTTCTTGTTTCCCATTTCGTGTGATTTTTTTACCATTGTATTCATCGTTTGGTTTTTTGCAAGTTGACCGAAGAAGAATCCCAGCGGAGTTGTCCCACCCGGAAACCCCACCACTGGTAGTTCTATTTTTGATTTTTTTCAACCAACTGAGGTCCCCTAACATATTTTTCCGCAGGAATATGTATAAAGTCAGCTGAAACTGGCCAAAATCGGTCGAAAACAGCCTGGCTAAGGCAAACTGTCGCTACGGCAGTGGTGCCATTACCAGAGCACGGTGATGCCGCCGTGCTGAAATCTTAAAATTGGCCAAAAATAATTTTTAATACCGATTTTGAGTTTTTAGGATATTTTTAGGTACGTGAAACATGTTTAATCTCTACAGAAAAATTCAGAAAATCCAGAGACCATCAGTAGATGCAATAGAAATTTCAATATTTCATAGACCAATTCGGGTAATAATTCCTCACCCTATTTCCTGTTATGGAATTGAAGCTTAATAATTAATAATATGGTATTTTGTGAAATTTAAAAAACTTTGAGAATAATTATATGCCACTAATGGAGGCAGAACCGGTTAGTTATTTATTTATCATGTTTAACTGATCATTTAATTTTACAGCTTTAAATACATAATAATATATTGAAATTATTAAATGATTCAGTTGTACTTTCTTGATGTATATATCGCTTGTCTTGCGTGATTTACGGTTGATTTGTGAAATATGAAATTAATATGCAAATGAAAAATTGTTTGATTATATGATTAATAAATAGTTGTCTTACTGGATATCTTGAGAGATGGTGGACGGATCGGGTACTTAGGGAACCCTATCGTGAACGTTACCTCATACCGAATGGGGTATCGAGGGAATGTATTTTTAATGCTCATACCAAACGGGATATGGGAACGGCCCGATTCACCATCACATCGGACGGGATATCGATGGATGGTAGTTTTGACGCTCATATCGGACGAGGTATGGGGACGGCCGGTTAGTTGACAAGTTTGAATATTGGGTTTACGCGTAATGAGACATCTCTATGGATCCCCAGAGATACCAAAAAGCAGATAAAGAAAAATTGTTGTTCTTACTCACTTGAATATGATATCATAATGTTAATTGAGTTATTGTCTCTATATGTCGATTTTGAAAATCTTGTAATGGTAAGTATGCAATAAATAGTTTTCCTTATGATAAATAAACTTATTTAAATTAAGAGTTCTATTAGTCGTTTTATGATTTTTACCAACCTTTAATTTCTGTATCGGTGAGTAGTGTGATATTCTTATTGGGTTAGTGCAGCTCACCCCCTCCCCTATTAACCATTTCAGATCAAGATTCAGATTTTAATCAGTAGGAAGGCTGTGAGTAGGTGTCCCCCCCGCATCTTATCAATAACTAATGAAAGTTAACATCCCTACAACATTTATTTGCTATTTTATAAACTGATATGAAAGAGATATTTCTGTACCCTTATTGGGCATGCTAATTTATGTGTAAGGAATATAAACTTAAACTCTATTGTTTCTCTTCCGTATTTAAATTATGATTTTATTTTTATTTAAGTTCCATGTCTCTACATTTATCATGTCAAATAATAGAAACTTACCTGGTAATGAAAACTTATCTATTGAGTCTGCTTATTCTTTTCTTACTACTACTAATTTTTCAAGGGGTTGCTCTTACCTCCTCTCCCTAGATCTCCATTTTAATCCATTTTAGTTATGTATATCATATTTTTTAATTTATGTAAAATTCATTTTATATCTATTTTAATTACAAAATACAAAACTTATATATAAAATGATAAAATTGAATTCATAAAATACCATATCCTCCGCACTCCATCAAATTTGATTGACCTTGAAATACATTATTCTATTCCATATTAAATTGCATATGAACTCAATTTCCATAATCTTCTAACAAAACTTGGGATACTTCTAGCTTTATATATATATATATATATATATATATATATTTACAATGTTTTGGGGTAGGCATCTTATACTCTCCCATTTTATATATTCTCTTTCTCTCCAATAAAGTAATTCTTTTATCCAAAAAAAAAAAAATTCCAATATTCTAGTCTAAATTATATCCAAGTAAGTCTACGAAGAACACTAAGAATTTTATCTATCCCCCTTTACTCAGATTTCTTAACCAGTGAAACAAGGCAATAAAATATACAAGTAACAATGAATCACCCTCAAAGAAACTCAAGAAACACCAACCAAGCTGATGATGCCACAAGTTTAAAAGAAAAACCAATTCAAAGAAAACATAACATTTTCATAAATGACTTTTTTTTAAAAAAAAAAAAAAAGATTGCAATTCCCAGTTCCACTTCTGAAAAATCAAATAGAATACAATTACTCAAATTCATCAGAAACACCATCACAGACTAAAACTTCTGTCTGTTAGGTACAGGCAACTTGCAGAAGCCGAACGCCGAAGTCAGTTTAACCGAACACGTTACAACTTTCTGTTTCTACATTCTCCCCTTAATAACCAAACGAAGAGACTTAGTCAAGAATAAGTTCACTCCAGATGTTGGTAGTCAACAGATCCAAGCTTTTACCATACAAAGTCAGAGATTTATAAAAAATAACAAACTTAAAATTGAGAGTTAAACATAAAACAGAAGATTTGGGATCATTATATAATAGAGGGGCTGACCTGGTGAAGTAGACAGCTACCAATGATTTACTTGCAATTTTTTTTTCAGCGAAAAATTCGTTGAAACTTAAAGCTAGATGTCTCCCTTTAAGACTGAGATTATCTGGCTTTTTAGTTTATGACATTTTATATATTTGAATAGGTTACATTATTTTTACAGGTATTGAAGAGTTGAGTCTAATTCAGAAGATTAATCCCAAATAATAGATAAAAAAAATTCAAGGTATAACAGTATCTTTGCTTACAACTGTAGGGAACTTGAACTTTGGATTCTGCTCCACGAAGTCAGGCGGCCGCTGGTAAACCACTGATGCTGCCCTAATTAAAATTCCAGCAGTTAAGCCCCATATCAAATACTTCTTATTCTCTGTTTCATAGTCAAAGAAGTGAATGAGATACTTTTCTCCCATCCACTCTCTCTCCTCTGAGCTCCTGTTTTCATCCTGCACAACATTTTTCATCCAAAATCTCTTTTAGAAAAGTGAAAAAGGTAACTAGAAGAAGGTGTTAAGAATTCCTCAAGAAATGTACTTAAAGCAGTATTTCTAAGTAATTCTTTAACATCTGAATGCTGATTTTAAAAAACAAAAATGGATAATTGGGGTTGTGAAAGAAATGTACGTGAAACACTACGTACATAAAATAACCAAGAACATCTAGGTGCTGATTTAGAAAATAAATGGATGTATATGATCAAAGTAGACCGTAAAAATAATAAGTATATGGTAGTATTTCTGCTGCATATATGAATGACGGTGCAAGAAACGTAAACATTAGAGATGTTTTTTTTAGATAAAAGAAAAAATATTATTAAAGAATAGAGAAAGAAAGAATACAAAAATGAGGATAAGATATCATCTAGGACTTCCTGGAAAAGGATAAACAGTAAGCATTAAACATGTTAAGAAGATAAATTCTTTAGATCAGTATACAAAAGGTTGGGAGAGATGCGTTTATTATTTTACTGCTTATAAGCACACAATAAGTAGACTAGCCAATGGATAATCACGCAAGTAAAATTGAATAGGGTGCTTATAAGTTGCTTTTAAGTGAAGCCAAAATTGTTTAAATAAGCCAAAGAGAAAAACCTTAATAAACATTTCCAAGGGTGCATCGAAGACTGCTTCTACTTCAGCAGGATTTGGGGATGGCCTGAATGCACTCTTGTCACTTAATATGCCTATTACAGGGACGACTCTCAGGAGATGCTGCAATGAAAAGCAGTGATTTGAGAACTCGTAAGCACACTAAACAAGGGTTGAATTCTAGTTATAAGGAGATACAGATATTTGATATTGCCCCGATGTATTTTTTTAGTTACAATTCCCTATTCAAAATTCTTATCACGTCTCAGACAGCTGGAAACAAAAAGCAAGTTTAAGTGCTTTATTACATTCAAGCATGACAACATGCAACAGAGAGAGAAATTCAGTGCTCAAAACATTCTTTCACAAACTACATTACGTTTGCAGCTGAAGAGCAAGTTTGGGCTGCATCAAAACAGTTGGGATGCCAAAGCTGGAGCATCTATTAGTCACAGAAGATCCCAAAAATATATTGCTTCTGGAAAGATCAATTGATGGGGTTAGTGCCCCTCGCCTCGATCTTTTCCTAAGATTTATAGATTTTTCGCGAGACATAATGCTCCAATGGCTTCTTTCTTTATTACCACAATGAGTAAATTTTTCTAGAAACCTTTTTCTTTTCAGAAATCCAATGATCTTAAACCATTAGAATTGAGATCTTTGATTACTTGTTAGACTCTTTTCTTCCCAGTATGATATCTTTCATTACTTGTTGGGCTCTTTTCTTTCCAATTCTAGTCCTGATTATAGATCACAGTCCATTTACTCTTCAGGAGTTTATACTTGCAAATCTTTTTTCTCTTTTCGGTTTCTTGCCTTAGTCCTGCCATAAACAATTTTGACTTTTGCCCTTCTAAAAAGTGAAAGTTCTCTTTAAAGTGAGACTGTGATTGCCAAATCAAGGTTTTCTTCTGTATGTTCCTTGTTTCTTTTTCGTGAATTTGACTTCTTTCCTTTCTAGTTTACTTCATTCCTTTTAGTTTGACCTAGAAATTCAGTTTCAGTAGCTATTGTTTCAGTACCACTTATCTTCACTTAGCTTTTCCAAATGTGACATGATTTAATCAAAAGATAGAAACACAGAACTAAATAAGAAAAGCAATAGAAACGGGAGTCCCCAAAACATTCCCTTTATGAGGAACTCCTCTTTACAGTAAAGGTAGGGGTTGACAGAAAATGTTCCTAACACGCTGGAAACCAGATTCTAATAAAACAAAATGCTTGTGAGCTTTTCCTTCCAATGAAAAAAGAAAGTATTACAAAGAAGAGAGAAAGGTACAAAAGTAGAGGAGAAAAGCTTTCCTAAATTAATGCAAGAAGAAAAAAGTAAAGAACAATGTAGGAAACAAAACCCAATACACCTCCTTCAAGGCGCTCTACAAAATAGTCATAGAAACATCCCCAAAGAACCAATGAGCCTTAACCCAGAAAAGAAATATGGAAAACCAATATCCCACAAGAAGACAAAGAAGTAAAAATCCTAGACAAGTCTAACACAGCACTCCATCTAACATCTATAAACCAACAAAGAAAACTCATCTTCAAAGAACCTTAGCTTCCTTAATTCGCCCCAAGCCCCTGAGAAATGTAGAGAGGGAACACCCAAGGGAGAGGGAAACAAGGAAATGATGAAAAAATATCAAAAACTTAAATCAAAGTCTCCATACCTCCTTATAATGCAAAAAGAGATGGCAACAGGACTCGGCTTCCCTAAAGCAAATCACACCCATACAAAGAAAGATCACAATTAAGTTTGCGAACTTCCACTAAATCATTAGTATTGAGTTTGTTCAGAGCAGTAGTCCAAACAAAAACCTTAATTTTAAAGAGAGTTTTAGCCTTCGGAAATACACTAGCATAAGTCTCATTATGAGTATAATTATGCTGGCATGGGTAAAAAAGGATATAAAAGTGAGCACTCAAAGAATCCAATGTCCAAATTCTATTATTGGGTTGTTAAAAGAGAGTAAAAGGCTCAAGGATATTAGTGAAGAGGGAATAACATTATACTCATGATCATTAAGATTCCTGAATAAGAACAAGTTTGAAGAGGTTTGTAAATCAAGTTGATGGATAAAGTTACAGATAGGAGTACTCGTAAAATAATAGTTTATGGAGGCATAGATAAAGGATAGCAATGGATAACCAATCCAAACATCTTTTCACAACAAAATATTGGAATTGTCTACCACTTAAAGGATTGTTTTTAATTTTCTATTACTTGAATTTGAAAAAAAAAACAATCAAGTTAGTATGAAATAAATGATATTTTCCATTATTCTATTAATTGTTTGACATTGTCAATCATATCTAAATAAGTAGAGCATTCGTAATTTTGCCAAACTGTATTGGTCTTACATTTTATACACATATCAACTTTCTCTGAAAGATTTATTCCTAAGAAGGGTGTTGAAATTTAATTTTAGATTTATTTTGCACTAACTAATTAGATAAGTTCATAAAAACTAATTAAGAAAGTAAATCATGGATAAACTTGAGTTGACATGTATGATATAAAACAAATGAATTTGCTAAAAGAACTAGTGTCAAATTTCTAGCTCAAATTCAGCCTACCCGAAACAATATTGTATATTATAGTGATGAGGTCCAACTAGGAACTATTCACTTAATAAACATGTATACTATTATTATCTGTAATTTGATATATTATGGTGTTATTTATGTTTCCAAAAAAATATATTATGGTGTTATTCAGTCACCCTTTTCCTTAACTGTTATATCACTTCCTCTTTTCGGGAGTTGAGGAAGAGGCAAAGGTGCTCTAGAGAGGCTTTCTATTTGTTGGGCTATCAGTGTTGTACTTGGAGAGAAACATTCTGCTTCCTAAAAATAGTTTTCAAGATTGTTTTTACCTCTTCCACTTCTTCGGGATAGATTGACCCTCTTGGCTTTTCTTTGGACTAAGGCTTGCAGGTCTTTGGGTATTTTACAAAGAAATGGGCCTGAGATGATTGTATATCGATGGTATATCTTCTTTTTGTTTCTCTTTCCCTTTAAAAAAGAATAATTGTTTAAGAGCATCTCTTACTTGCTGATGTTGTTCTCTTTTCTCTATTGATAATATTTCTTCCTTCATTAAAAAAATTATGACTTACAGCTGAATTCATGCAATTATACAGCAAATAATAATGAGGCTTACAAAAAACTAACGGTAGTACCTCTAAAGAACTTATGATAATAAATCAATAAATTTTTATGCAGTGTCAATTACTCTTATGGCTTTTATGTAATTAAGTAGAAATTAAATACATGACTTCAAAAATAACAATGATAATAATAATAATAATAATGAGGGGGTTAAAAAAGACAATGTAACGAGAGTAAAGATAGAGGGGCATGGCTAGCTAGAGTTCAGAGCCTAGAGGGGATTGAGTATGTTGACCATTATTAGGAGGGGAGAAAGAGACACGAAGAGGCATGCATTTCCCCTGTTTGCACTTTTGGAAAATATTTTTCTTTATCACAAATTGTCTTCTAAAATTTCATTTTAAGCAAATATGAGAAAGTTATAACTATTTTCAAGAACTAATTTTTTTTTTGCTTTCAAAACTGAAACATAGTCCAAAAATGAACAGGTGCTAAACGGTGCAAAATAGAGAAAGAAGTGACTATAAATTCAAATGTGGATGCAGCTCTCTGCTTGCTTAGAAGTTGCAATCTAAAAATTCTCAATTGCATAAATTTCTTCTCACTCCACTAATCCGACATGCATTTGATCGAATTTTCAAATCCAACCACCATCAACACTTTGGATAAGAGGTAGCAATGGTTTGAGAAACCACAAATTTGTAAGATACCCGGGAGAAAAATATGTCTAACCATCCAGACATGCAGCTAAATACTATTGCACAGCACATTGAAAGAAATTTTCTATTAGAGTTAGGCTTAGCAAATTTACTATATACTTGATTGCTACTTGCAATTAATACAAACAATCCTTAGGAAAAGATCGCCGAATACAAATTTGGTTTAGATTCACGTCAGAAACAGTAGCTAGTTCCTCCATGTTAAGATCAATATATATAATTCCAACCAAGCATCTTGTCATAAACAAAGGGTAAAACTTTCTTCTTAGACTAAATTTCACTCATCAAACGACAAGAAAGCATTGCACACTTGAAATTTTGGTGAAAGAAGTAAGCAAATGAAATAAAGTATTGACAAAAATACCTTAGACAGAAATGGTTCAAGCACAGTAATGACATTGACAAGTGAGGGATCCAATCCAATCTCCTCCTTTGCCTCTCTTGTCGCGGTCTCTCCATCATCCTTATCACCCTCCTCAGCTTTTCCACCTGGCAAGGAAACCTCTCCTGCAAACGAACACACCCACTAACTAATTGACATTGTTATCAAATATCCATTTGCTTGCCCAAAGGGGAGACCAAGGAAAATTTTAAATTTCAATCATTATATGGTACCATTAAAATCAATCACCTTAAACAAGCCTCCCCAATTTACTATTTCTTTTTAGAGATTTTTCACATAAAAGTAATCAACATCAAATTGTCTACGAGACGATTGATTTTTACCCCACTGACGTCTCTTTCATGTGCACTTAATACTAAGGAAGAAACCGAGAACTCGTTAATTGCAACCAAAATTAGCAAATGAATATTTTCATAACCAATCTTCCAAAGGCATAAAACTCAGTTCACCTGAACTATACCATTTTGTTTCCTTTTGCATTATAATCAAATAAAAAAGAGCGAATTTTTCCATTTGTTACACAAATTTCCAGAAAACCAAACAAAGGGGATCAGAAGCTGCTCTGAAACTAACCCGAGTGAGTCGACAATCCGGATGACCTCTTTGTCAGTATCACACGCAAATCCCCAGCATCTCCTTCGAAAAGACAGATCAAAACAGCAGCTCTCTTGGGTCTAAACTTTTCTAGGCGTTGGGCGATCGGAGTTACAGATTCCTGAAACCCAAGTTGAGAAACAATTTTCCCTGCATTTTCTTGCACGCGTTGCTCCTCGATTTCATCGTAAGAAGAAGGTGGAGCCTTGTAGAGACGCAGCTGTTGCGCCAAGGTCGATAGTCTACTTGATGCTGCAACACAAGTTGTGGGATCCATCAGCTTGCAGAGTGTTACTCTCTTCAAGATTGAGATCATAAGGAGCAATTGAATTGAAACTGGAGCATTGAAAAAGTAAAGAATGATTTTATGAGTCCCTTGAAGGATGTCATCAGCATAACTGCGCAGGAAGACACGAATGTTAATGATGCAAATTCCGGTAATTTCTTGGAAAGATTTGCTTTTAAATATATATATATATATGTATTAAAAAAGATTTGCTTTGAATATATCTTGCTTTACACGTGTTTACAGAATGTTTCAAATTTAATCATAAGTTTTTATATTTAATATTGAATTAACTGTATCTGCCTCAGTTTAATTATATTTGTGTTAGTTTAATTATAAATTTTGTATCTTTTTTTATGAAATTTTTTAAAAAATATTTTAAATGAAAATATTATTTTTATTCAAATTTTTATAATATCTTATATTGTATTATGGTTTTAATTCTATTCAAATGAAATTTAAATGAACCCTATTCTTTTTCTTTTCATCCTGAAAATCCCACAACATAGAAAATTGTTCTTGACAAACTGTAAAAGCATGCCTTGGATTTAATTTGTTCTTGACAAATTGTAAAAGCATGTTGATGTACAGAATACTAATGGAGAACTGTCATTTTATAACAAGCCAAATGTTAAGTTTGATTGCTAAGAAAAAACTAATTTTGTTACATTTCATATTATTCTTACATGAAATGCATTGCTATGACATGACAAAATCTTGAAGTAAACAGAGTCAAATGATCTTAAGTCAAGGAAACCAGGATGTTTAAATCTAAATACAATCTACTATTATTAATTATTAGTTCAAATTACAAGGGATAATCTACATATCAAAAGTTCCTTAACAACTTCGGGCATGCGGCGAGCTTGCTCCGAGACTTCTCAGTCTCAGTATCTGTCAACAGATCCTAAATCCGTCTACAGATTCCAGGCAAATTTCGAAGGGAGAAACAGCATTCCAACCATACAACGAATCACCCGACAAAAACATATATACATTATAAATATATTCTTTGTTTTCAGGATATACAGATACAAAATAGAAAAGAAACATAAAATAGTTTATCACTCAGACTTCAAATCTAGGTATGCTCACTGATGTATAATTATATGCTCAAAAGCAGGCATAACATTATTTTGATCATGCCTATGCACAAAATCAGATTTAATCATATAATAAATAAAATAAACAAAACGGATACAACCACTCATCTGCAACATAATTAACGGAAATAGATGGATGCTCTTTCAATCTGTTCCTCGAGTTTGGCTAGACAACTCAATCTGTTCTGTTGTGTCCTTAACTTCTTCTGCAGCTTTACTACTCCCTTCATGTTTAGCTGGCTTTTCAGCAGCTGGATATGATAATCTTCTGGCTGGCCTTGTTGTTCCTTTCCCATTTGACAGAGCAGCTTTTGCTGGAACTGGTGTCTTTGTTGTTGGTGAGTTGATGCTTTTGGCAGACTTGATTGTTGATCTATTTTGCATTTTCTTTGGACTGCTGGACTGGAAAGCTACACGTATTTCCCATGGACGAGCAGTAATCCACCTTTCTGTCCAGCTCCAGCCCCAGTTGGCTTTGCCAAGTTCGTAGTTACCGAGCCCATTGGGACTTGAGTTGGCCCTCCACTGCCAATCACAAGTTTGGGTTGACTACTTGATTCCTGATGGCAAAGTAAAAAGTATGATAGAGTATAGTAGCTTTTAGAAATAAAAATACCTGATGAGAAAAGGCATATGCCATGGCCCTCTCCCGCTTAACTGATGCTTCTTCTCTCTGGTATATCCTTGCAAGAATTTCATCCTTTGTTTCTGATCCACCGCACCATTCCACCTACAATCCACTTAAACTATCACCACGAGAATTGTTTTCAGTGTTTTGAAACAGGCCCTTACTTGAGTGGAATAATTTGTAGACATCAAGGAACTTCGAAAAGGATGAACAAATTCTAGCACTAGATTTCAGGACATGAAACAAATGAATTGCGTTGTGTTTTTTTTAGTTAAATCTTTAAGTTAAATCCTGAGTCAATGTTTAGATACTACCAGCATAAAAAGAGTAGTAGGATTCCAGTTAAGTGAATCCATTTCCCTTGTTTCATCTTGTAAGAGCTAAACTCTCTGGTTGAACTAAAATATCGGTATTTTAATAGCTATAATTAAATGCCAAGCTTCAGTCTATAGCTACAATTTTCTTATGCAGGCTAACCAGTTGAAAATGTCCAGGAATATTTAGTTAGTGGGTTACTTCACTCAATGGGAAATCAGAACTCTGAACTAATGCAAAAGATACATGTTAGAAAATAACAGGTGTCATCCGAAAAGATTCTATCTATAGGATTCAAATTACCACATTATGTATATACCAAAAAACAAATCTTACAATTGCTCTAAGATGATAGGAAGGTCAAAGGAACCATAACTTCTTTCAGTGTCACTTACCCTAACACTTCTCTAAGTTGAAGAAACAGAGAAAATGAACTCAAACATCATTTTTCACATAAAACAGAAAGAAACAAGACTTGCAGACCACTCATCCAAAGAGTGATTTTTAGATAGCAGTATAAAGGGAAAAAAGAAATTGTAATTTGGCAAGATAAATTGTTTTATAATGAAAGAGAGGCCATATCCAATCATTCTGGAGGCTAGGCGTGTAAGTTGTTTGGTGATGACCCTCCAAACTTTGGTTTGGATTGAAAACCAAAAGAAAACTTTTAATCTGGTTTCAAGTTTGATTTGGAAAAATTTTCAAACAAGCAAATCAAAATTCAAATCATATATAGTTGAAAATAATATAATATATATAATAAACTAGGAAAAGATATCCACCCTATTCGTCCTAAATACCTAAAATAGATTCTGTGTAACCTATTTTTCTTTTCTGTTCTTAGTTTTGCTATCATATATAGTAGTTGCTTATTTTGCGAGAAAATTTGTTTTCAGATACTCTGTTACTAATGTGGGCTAACATTGTAATGTAAGTTATAGAATTATAAAAAATACACATAAAAAAACAATTCAAACCAAAGCAAGCCAAACTAAACTAGATTACTTTGGTTCGGTTTCTATAGTAGAATGGTTCAATTTGATTTGAATTCTATAGAAACTAAGTAGTTTGGCTTGGGTATAGGGTGTAAACCAAACCAAAGTAATCCATCTGCACCCTGACTGAAGACAGTTAGTTCATTGTACAGGATTTTCTCCATAGTAGTTTTTCATTGGAATTCTGTAAACTCAAATTTGATTGGCATTCACTTTTAACAAAACAAAAGAACTGAGTCAAACAAACCGTCAACAACCCAAAATTTTTTTCAAACAAAAAAAGGTTAAATATGAACTTACAGGAAATGATGTCCTGAATTTCATTACATGCAAGGTATTCTTTTTATCATCTTATACTAATATTATGTTCATCTATTTGTTAAAAATTTGATAGCAACCAATTATCGCAAAAGCTTGAACTTACAGAAAAAAAAAATCAATCTATTCTTTATATCCTAATATCATCCATCATGCTAAAGCCCGCTGGGATGAATGTATGGATCATATTTTTTCAAAAACGATGTGAAGGTTAGGATTTGAAAACTAAATTTCAGGTTTTAATAACATGTTAAGAATTGATTTTGGATAAATATTCCAAGATGTAAACTTTATTAAATTGTTCAATCTATTATTCATATTATAATATTTGTTTTTATGAACATATCTTTGTTGTTCAAATTCTAACATAACAAATGCATGAGGCCTTCTAAATCAATTTGACTTCCTAATTATTATTAGATTAGTTTGGACATGAGTTAGTTTTGAGTTTTATCTTTAACCAAGTGCACGTCAAAATTTCAACTACACCGAGACTTGGTGGGTATACTAAAAAAATAAAACAGCCATAAATTCAATTGAAAGTTCGGATCTTGTGCACAAGGATTAACAAAGAAATTTTTAAATCTTATTTGTTGTTAATTTTAAAGCATGCAAGAACCAATGTTTTGATCAGCAAGAAGCACTTTTCTAATGACTCTAACCTCTAAATCATGAAGCTTTGCCTCAAGTTTCAACTGATTCTCCAATTTCTTCTGCTTAAGCCGGCCTTCTGTGACCATACAAAGTCGCCGATCTCTGATCTGAGATTTTATTCTGCTCCAAGCATGAAGATAGCTCAATGTAGTTGTACCTTGCTTTTTAACAGAATAATTTTGGGTCAGGTTCTGTAATCTCACTCTCCCTTTCAGACGACGTAAACCTTTTCTAGCCTGCATGATGAAAGAGTAGTCAGTAAATGCATACTTTAAGACGATGCTAGAACAAGAAAAATATATTTGAGAGCATCTAATAGATAAAGGAGAAACATCATAAGAGATCAAAGTATCAGCTCCATATCAATTTATTGTGAAACCCAGAAATGATGAAGGTGCTTATACATGGAAACATAAGTTAAAATGGAGACCTAAATCGCTCCTCTTCTAGAAAGGAAACTTCAGAATTCTGAAGGTTTGTGGAGAAAGGCTCTACAGGTTAATATTGGCAGTAAACAACCACTGACAACAATCAGCTAAAAACTTGGAAATATGTCTTTCTGAACAAAGTGGGGCTAGTTAAACTGCATCAGTGAAACTTCAATTTATTTGTCTCTTTTTTTTGTCATGCTGAGTCTCTTAGAATGCACACCCAAAAAAATCAAATTACAAGAGCTGTAACCTTGACACAAGCATGACCCTTTAAAGTTTTATGCTCTCTTAACAGCATTGTCTATTCAGAGCATGAGAAGCAGAATTATGGACAGTAGAAATGAACTGTCGTGAGAGTTAGATTACAAAAGCATCCTTGGAAGACTGAAAACCTTCTCATGGATTCATAACATCTTACTAATATTATGACCAAACAAGTTGTGGATAATGATAGAGACTTACAGCAGGAAGTCTCATTAAATTAGCTTTCTTAAAAAAAATACCACCAAATAACCACAGTTACTACTAGTCATTGATTGCATCGGGATCAAAGAAGTCTGTCAAGAGGAACATGTTGCATGCTATCTATCAGTTATAGGCCAAATGCCAGATAACAAATAATTCCAAAGCATACACATAAAGAAATCTAGTTAAGCAATATTTTTACTCCATTTGGTTTATCTATTAATTTAATTATTTATGGTAGTGGCTTGCTTTATGAATTCATTCAATTATCAAGGCCTAGAAAAGTGAACATACGTATGGGCTAAACAACTCTTGGCAGGCATGCTGGATCAAAAGCTGTTAACTTAAACAGAAACTTAAAATCTGAGTGTACAGGATCTAGGTTGGATAGAATCCATGTGTCTGTAGTGCACAATAAAACTGGATTTTATTATTTAAATCAAAGCATGGAATTGCAGTATGGAGTCACCGATAGTGGCAGCTAAACAGAGAAAAAATGGATCACACTGAAAGAAGCTGAATCAATATTGAACTATAAATTTCAGAACGTATTTGGTAAAACTTGTGACTTCACCTACCACATAGGCCCTGAATGCAGTCTGGATCCTGATTGCTGCTAGGTCCTCAATAGGCAAACCAAGAGTGCCAGGAATTCCACCAGCAGAACTAGCACATGCTTTAAGTGGGTTTTTCTTCCATTTGAAGCCATTTGATTTTCCAGGAGCGGCAGAGCCCTATCTCAAAGTATGGAAATGAATAAGACAATGATATGGACAAAAGATATCATAATAATTTTTCCAAATTAGTTAGACTTATTTCCATACAATCCCAAGGTTTTTTTCCCCTAATACTAACTCATTAAGGTAGCTAGAAAACGAATTCAAATATACTTGTTCAAATAGTTACTTTCCATAATCTTAAATCAATAAATAATTGTTTAGGAAGAGAGTCAAAGTCGAACCTATAAATTGGGAATGAAGAGAGTAATCACCTTGCATGTCATGCCAATTGAAAATATGTTCAAGATTAGTTGTTCAATTGGTAATCCAACTACCAAATGCTTAGATTCTTTTATTTCCCAAAGTAAAAGAAGAAAAAAAAATCAAATTTGAATCGCTAATCCTAGATTACAGTAAGCTGAGCAATGTTAAAGAATTTGCAGGGTACTGTACCTTGACATGTTTTGAATTCTCCTCCTTCCCTTTCTTCAAGCTGATTATTGTCTTAAGGAAATTTCCAGAACCCATTTCCAGATTTTCTCAGATGTCTAACTTCTCATTACCCTGGAAATGACAGCATTTTCAATTTGTTCAAGAATATGAGTGATATTTGAACATAGCAAAAAATTAAAGTCGAGCATTAACACCATTTTATCATCTTCGTTCATACACATATACATAATCACCATTCGATCTATTAATAAGAAATAATCTACAAACCACACAGCTAAGTTCATATCACCCTTAAAGGCACCACCTTTGTTCCCCAATATAAGTCACAACTGATGGGGAGCTTCCATATTTTATATGAAACAAATAGAATATGGGATTTGCATTTGCATACCAGACACTCAATCACACAAAGCAACTAACATTGGAAGCGTTGACCAAGAAGAAGGATAAACAAGTAGTAATTTGTGAATGAAGCTGATTTAGCAATCGATTTAAGTGTAATTTATTAGCCAAAAGCAAGCATCTAGATCCAAGCCAGCACATTTCCCTATCAAGAAAAGGGCATTCCCCAATCACACCAACTAACCCAAAAAGTAAAAGTAAACAGCACAAGAAAGCAAACAGTGACATATCAAGGAACAAGAGTGACATACCAAGGCAGAAGCTAGTTCGCAAAAGGAGTGGAAAGAAGAGGTCTTTTACAAAATGGGTAGAGGTAAATATTCTGAGAAGAAAAGGGCGATGATTGATTTCCCTGAATTGGTAGTTGTAGACTTGTAGTGAGGATTAAGGAAGAAGGAAAGAAGGAAAGACAGAGGTTGGGTATGAATAGTGGAAGAAAGAACAAAAGTGGGTGTGTGAAATGAAGATTGCCAATTTGCCATGGCCCATTTACCAGCCTTTTCTTTTCTTATATAAAAAAAATCAAAACCAAATCAAAAGATGATTTAAAAAAACCACGATAGAATAAAAATGGGATTTTTTTATTCGAGTATTACGAATGGGACAGAGTAGAACAACTCAGGAAGAGTTTATAATTTGCTTGTGTTTATTAGAGGTTGAAAAATGAAACAGGAGGAGGGGGGCCTTAAAAGAGACTAATGAACAATGACAAAAGCTTTGATGGAGATGGGCTGCCTATCTTTTACCAGACTCGAGCTCAAATTGTCTTCATCTGTTCTCTCAAAAAATAAAAGAATTGCTTTTATCTGTAATCTGTTTCTGATTATAATATATCTTATCTGATTGGGTGCTTCCCGCTCTATTTACCTAACCGGAGTGTAATATACTACTGGCCGTTGATCTTCATCAAAGTAGTCTCTGTTAACAGCGAGGTCAAACATTAGCTGTACCGGATCCCCGTCACCCGAAAGACACGAGAAGGAAGCTGAAACAAAAATTAAATATTGAATTGGTCCCGGCGAGGCTCGAACTCGCGACCTTCGGCTCATAAGACCAACGCTCTAACCAACTGAGCTACGGGACCTCCTTGATAGTAAAATTGGGTTACTTTAAATAATACAAGTAAACAACAATTAATCAATGGCCCATGATTAAAATTAACATTAACCGCTAATTTAGAATAACTTTGTATAAATTAGAGAATAAAATACTACTTGAGAGCATTAATTTTTAAGTATTATTAGTACTCAATTAATTAATCATAATTTTCAGAAAATCTAATTATATATGGGCAAACTTCCTACTATGTGTTATATCATCATTGTTATATAAATGTGAACTCAACAAAAAATTTATTTTGGATACATTATTTAATTTCTTATTAAGGTACTATGAAATTCACCCAAACATATATATATATATATATATATATATATAAGCAAGAAAGATCCTAATCCAGGCACATGTCAACATATCCTATAATCTTCTTCTGATCATAGCCCATAATCTTAGTCTTTTATTTTTTAATTTTTCTAAATTTATTTTCATTATATATAATAAAGAAGTCTCAGTCATATTCCTATCTTGTATTAAGACTGAATTTAAAAACAATGGTTGAACACCTAATAAATTAAACACCAAGGAAGTTAACAAGAAAAAGAAATCTCAAATCATAATTATTCAAATCTCAAAAGCTATCTGAAGCAACCTGATTCCACCACGACTAGTTCATACTATATATATATATATAATACATATCCTATTAAACTGTACATTTATCCATTAATTGAACTTGCAAAAATGGATGATTAGGGATTCAGTTTAAGCCAGAAGATTGTGGTGAGTGTTATAATCTCTGTGTTAGTGGTAATTATTTTCATAATTTCATTTTCTTTTTTCTTTAGATATTTTCTTCAAAATTATGGAAGACGATATTCTGTTCTGTATTATATAACATCTCTGATTGCCCCAACTACTGAACCTGCCGGTTCTGGACTCGATCCTCTGGTTATAGCCTCACTACCTGCTTTCACCCATAAGTCAGCTCAAGAACTGCACCGCACTGGTCATGGTGAACCCAAGAACGACTGCTCTGTTTGTTTGGGCTCCATAATCGAGGAAGCCGTGGTTAGGGTTTTACCAAACTGTAAGCACGTGTTTCATGTCGAGTGTATTAATGTTTGGCTTGGTTCGCACACGAGCTGCCCCGTTTGTCGGACCATCGTCGAGCCTAGGTTGCGTTCCTATGTCGAACCAGAGAGTGTTTGTCGCACCATCGTCGAGCCTAGGGTGCGTTCCTATGTCGAACCAGAGAGAGGTGCGCAGACTACTTGCCAGGGTTGATAAGTGTGGTCGGAGAAGGGAAGACTTCATAATCTCTTAGCAGACAAGGATATATATACACACACGCATATGTGTGTATATATATGTATAGTTTAGTAGAAAGAACTTTATATGTATCTGCTCATTTCTGCATTATTTCCTTATATTTTATCCTTTAAATTCCTTCAATTCGTTCTGTTTTTTTAGATATTTAGTAGTTAATGTAATTTTTTTATTTAAAAATATTACAGAAACCATTATTTACTTTAAAAACTGAAAAGAACTTTCATATTTAAACTTTGACGGTAAATATATCAGAAATAATAAAATTACTGTGTACCCTTTATTCAATAATAAATTTATTACAATACCCTTATTAATTTATATAAATAAAAATATAAAAACATTATTAAATAAATTAATACCATTTATTAATAAAAATTATTGCAAATTAAATTTTTTTTCCATCTTCACTGATATTTCCCCATGCAATTACGTAGTGGAAAATGAAGAAATCGGTTTTTTAGTACAAAAATGACATATGAATCCTCTAATTTTTTAAGTTGATTTAATTAAATATATTTTTATATTTTAAATAAATTATTAAAGATACTATGACAATTATTATTAAATAGAAGGGCATCATAATAAATTTTATTTTTAACAATTTAATAATCAATGTAAATTATATAATAGCTTATAAATTATGAAATTTTTATTCAATTTTAAAAAGTTGGTGATTTTCTCTGTATTTCATAAAATTCTAAGGACAATTTCTATAATTTGTCTTTTTTAATTAAATTTTAATTTATATATCAAATTTAACATTTATTATGATAAATAAAGCGAAATTGTTAAAATTACAAGACCAAGAAAACCATATTTCACTTTTTTTGAAAAATTACAAACAACTCATTAAAAGAAAATTTAAAACATAAAATTGGAGAAGTAAGCTAATCCAGTTGGGTATTTGATTTTTATATTATTTGAATTGTATACTCGGATTGATCTACTTTTAAAATAATGAACACCCTAATCAATATATTATTAATAAAATGACATAAAACCCATTCGAAAAAACCAAAATCCCAAGTGATTAATGAATTTAAAACTAGATCATGAGCCAAAACATATATATATCAATTTATAGATACATACATATACACTAATTCTTGACTTTTCGTTGGAAAGACTCATAACTTAAAAAAAAATATAACCAAAAAGTTAAATGCGGAAGTGAAATAATAGAATTTAGAATTCACATTTCTTACACAATAATTTAGAATGTTCAATAGAATTACGTGAATGACATTTCTAGAAAAATAAATGAAAATTAAAGAAATAAATAAAATGCAATATGCTGAGTATTTTAGGACGACCTTCACTACCTTTTGAAGGAAGTCCGAGTGGTAAACTATTCACAACCTTCTTGTTAATTGGGATCTAGATTTTGGTCATCTTGATCTGAAATAGTTAATGAAAGAATGAGTTACACCACACCAGTAAGAATATCACACTACTCACTGATACAGAAATTGAAAGTTAGTAAAAACCATAAAAACAAACAAATGGAACTCTTGATTTAATTAAATTCATTTATCATAAGGAAAAAATTTATTGCATATATTTACCGTTGTGAAATTTTTAAAATCGACCTACAGAAGCAGTAACTCAAATAACATTATAATCTCATATTCAAGTGAGCAAGAACAATAATTTTTTTTTTATTTACCTACTAGTATCTCTAAGGGCCCATAGGGATGTCCCATTACACGTGAACCAATATCTATCATTGTCAATTAACCGGCCGTCCTCATACCTCGTTTGGTATGAGCGCTAAAAATATCATCCCTCAATACCCCGTCCGGATTGAGGGTGAATCGAGTCGTCCCTATACCCCGTCCGGTATGAGCGCCAAAAATATCATTTTTTGATACTCCGTACGGTATGAAGCAACGTTCACGGGAGGGTTTCCTATGTACTCGGTCTGTTTACCATCTCCTAGGATATTCAGTAAGGTTACCATTTATTAACTCACATTACCAAATAATTTTTCGTTTTTCTATTAATTTTTAATTTCATAAATCAACCGTAAATCACACAAGACAAGTAATATATATATCAAGAAAGCACAATTGAATCATTTAACTATTCTAGTATGTCATCATGTATTTAAAATTATAAATTCAACAATCAGTTTAACATGACAAATAAATAACTAACTGGTTCTGCCTCCATTAGTAACTTGTAATTATTCTCAAAGTTTTCTAAATTACACAAAATACTATGTTATCGATTATTAAGCTTCAATTCCATAATAAAAAATAAGGTGAGGAATTCTTATCTGAATCGGTGTCGAAACACCAAATTTTTTATTGCGCCTACTAGCAGTCTCTGAGTTTCTCGAATTTTTTTGCAGAGATTAAAACATGCTTCACGTACTTAAAAATACCTTAAAAAATCCGAAATCAGTGTTAAAAACTTTTTTCAGCAAATTTTAGAATTCCGGCACTGCCGCCCACGACAATGGTTTGCCTTGGCTTGGCTATTTTCGGCCAGTTTTTATCAGTTTCGGCAGGTTTTTATATCCATCCTTGTAAGAAAACATGTTATGTAACGGCCTAAAAAATACTCAAAGGAAAAAGATAATAACTTAAGTGTGGAAGCGAAATAAAAGAGTTAAGGTTTACATTTCTTACACAGTAACTTAAAAGTACTAAACAGCATTACAGAATTCACCCTTTTGAAAGAAACACAAGAAATAAGAAAATAAACGGAAAAGAGAAAATATCTAGCATCTACTCACAATCTTCTTGCGGATCGGACTCTAGAACTTAGTTCTCTTTATCTGAATTGATTAAATAAGGAATAAGCTACACTAGTCCAGTAAGGATATCACACTATATCACCGACACATAAATAAATATGGGTATAAAAACAAAAACAACTAATGGAGTACTAAATTTAGCAAATTCATTTATCAATCATAAAATCATTTACCGTTCACTTACCACAGTGAAATTTATGAAAACAACTATGCAGACAATAATATCATACAGATCATAATTTCATGTGGGATCAGCAACATAGCACATATCATAAATTTATACACATCGTCAAATAACTAAACAATAACTGTCACCTTTTCACCAGCCTACTACTATTTATGGAGGTTCATAAGGATGTCCCCGCTACACGTGACCCATTTCCTTTAACAATCTCAATTACGAGCCGTTTCCATACCTCGTCTGGTATG